TAACACTTAACACTACTTCCTAATCTCTCACACAGCTGCACTCTTAGCATGCTCAAGTTACTATTTCTTTGTCAATAATAACATAGTTTATCCATCTCTCACAGGTTCTTTCCAACTCCACACCAGCTCAGGTGCCTGAGTTTTATGGGCAACAATTATGGATGGCTAGAAGTGCTACCAGTTCAGAAACCTGGTGCAGTTATTCTATTTTTTTGCCTCTTAATCCTGCAGAATTTATGCTCAATGAACACCTCCCCTCTTTCCCCCCATTTTTCTTTGTTTTTTAGGTTTTCAATTATAGGGTTTTTTCTCTTCACTATATAGCCTTTTTTATACAACAGGCTAGGTTTCTTTTTAAAATCATACAGTTTTTTTATATAATAATGTATAGTTACTTTGCTGTTTACTTTACATATAACACCAGAAGCCATTATTTTTTTAAAAAGAAATGTTAATGTTAACTTTGAAATGTTTTTGAAGTTTAATAAAAAAATGCATATTTTAAAAATGAAAACACTCTTAACCTGACGGTTTACGCCTGTTATAATATTAGGTTCAATAAGTAATCAATAAAACACGGCAGCCCCTTCCACCGAATTCTTTAACACGTCCAGCTTCCCATAATTCTCAGCGGGCGCGCGAGGGAACACTCTATCGTTCTTTCAGCTGCTCCTGCAGGTCCTAGAGCGGTCGAAAGGGGAGGTAGTCTGGGAGAAGACAAATGGCGGCGGCCAAGAGGCGGCGTGGGGCCGGCAAGGCAACCGCGGCCGGGCCGAAGAGGAAACGTGCGAAGGGAGCTTCGGAAAAGAAGGAGGTCGAGGAGGCGGAGAAAAGCCCGTCCTCCGTGGCGGGCCAGGATGAGTTCCACATACCGCCTCCGGTCTCGCAGGTGTGGATGCCGCGAAGGGGGCTGGCTGGCTGGCTGGCTGGCTGGCTGGCTGGCTGGCTGGCGGGTGGGGGGCGGTGAGGTTGATGCCTCTGAGCCCTTCTCTTCGCGCGGTTGAACCACCCGAGTCTTTCTTGTCCGGGCGATGCTGCTGTACCTCTGAGCATGTGCAAAGTCTCTCTGGGAATGTGGGCTCGTATAACGGGGCGCCTGCCTTTCCCTCCTGCGAAGTGATAAGCAATATTTGACTGAATTCGAGCTTTGAATGAGGCCGCACCTTTGGGGGTGAGCCGAGGGTACCCTGGGGATGAGCTGCAGCTTCCCCCCGTGAGAAACTGGAAGTTAAAGGTACTTTGTTTCGAGCTGATGATGTGGCTGGATAATAAAAGAACTGTTACGCTCCTGCATCCTGTCTCTTGGGAGGTGGTCTTTGGCCCACAGTAACCTGGGAGACTGTGGGGAGAGACTGGCAAGTGCTTCTTCTTCATAGCGAGAGTAAATGTTGTGTGTGATTGGAGGTGCCCTTATGGAGTCCTGGGCTTTGGCACTGAAAAAATTTTGGTATTTCTCACGCCGGCCGGGGAATTCTGGGAGCTGAACTCGACCCACCTTAAAAGTTCCCAAGGTTGAGAAACACTAGTATGTTTCTCAAAGCATGACCATAAAAAATCATTGTTGGGTTTTTTAAATATATAAAAACTGTGGACATCTGTATGGAGATATTGAAGCCTCTGCCAGACACTGGCAGTTTTGCCCTGTTTTCTTCAACATAAAATAATTCACTGTTAGTATATTTAACCACTGCTTTAGTTAAATGTTTTAGTTTGGTTTCTTCCTAAGTGGGTCATACTAACGCTTCTGCTTTCCAGGGTAAATGGAAGAACAAAGAGAGGGTTCTCATTTTTTCTTCCAGAGGAATAAATTTTAGGACAAGACATCTAATGAAGGATTTGCGTACATTAATGCCACATTCCAAAGCAGGTAGTTTCTGATTTTATTTGTATTACCTCTGTCCTTTTAGCTAGGTAATTATGATTTCAACTTACGGAAGCCAGTGCACATCTGTATACTAAGAATTATTAGTTTCTGAAAAGATGTTGGAGTTGGAACAAAACTGAGTGAATCGGTAGTTATGATATAATTAGATGTATGGCTACTTCCTATTAATGCCAGCTGGCTTATGATTTTCTCCTGCTTTTACAAAATTCTCTGTGCAGATATGCAGTTCTTCCCAATTAATTGCTTTGAAGAGAGCTCTGCTCATTTCAGCAGAGGCATTAGGAAACATACATAACATTGAAATAAGCATCACCTATAAACTAAATGTGTCAAAGCAACTATTTTGAATGTTAATTTCAATGGAACATTCAGTAACTATAAAAGAAATTCCATATGGTTGCCATTGTGTGAGCTTAAAATATGCCTTTATTTGTGTTCCAGACACTAAAATGGACAGGAAAGACAAGCTATTTATCATTAATGAGGTAAGTTATATTTTATTTATTTATTTGTTTATCGAATTTGTCACCGCCCATCTCGTTGAACGACTCTGGGTAGTTTACAAAACAATATATACATTTTCTGGCTTTTCCAAGTTACTAATTGATTGTCCTCGTTGAGTGGGAATTTAAATCCAGCTTTTCCTGGGCCTAAACTTTCCACTGTGCCTCACAGTGGCAGCTTTGTGAAATTATAAACTTGCCCATTATCTAAAACAACATAAGTGAGCTTCAGCTACACTCATCAAATCATTTTATATTCTAGATGTTAGATGAAGACAACAATATATACTTCTATGGACTGAATGTTGATGTTTTTCTTGTTTTGTATAGGTCTGTGAAATGAAGAATTGTAATAAGTGCATATTTTTTGAAGCTAAAAAGAAGCAAGATCTTTACATTTGGTGAGGAAAAAAATAAATTTGGAGCACTTCTGTTTATACATTCCAATTATTGATATCTAGACACTTCTGAGGATAAATGAAAAATGGGAACGTGGGAGTGGGGAAGAGTCATCTAATTATCCCAGACTGCTATTTTTTAGTTAATATAGCTTCTTATCAGTGGATACTGACTATCAGTTTTGTTACATCAAGAGGAGTCTGTTGCCTGGCCATATCTGTTCCCTGTTATGTCACTTTTTGGGGGTCATTTCAGTCAACTTTGCAACAGATTAATATTCGGGGTGCCTAGTAGGAACTTTTAGCTGAGAGAGTTGCCTTCTGAAGATTGAGTATAAATATATCTACCTATAATACCTTTTTGTGTAGGCAAAGGTTCAGATAATAATAAAAATCTATATGTACTTATCAGACCTTAGCAAATGTTTTAGGGAAATCAGTTGCTGTCTCATAGATTCTGTGTTTTGCCAGTCCTGTCTTCATATCTCCATCAAGTATGTTTGTGCTAATGTTGGTGGATCTTTGATTACCTTTATGATGATACTGGGCCTGTGCTAAAT